GGCCCCAGGCGCCAAAAGGCGCTGACCGCTGGGCGGCGCTCGCCCAACGGTCGGTGGCCGCCAGTTTTCTGCCAATCTCGATTCACTGAACGGCTTGCTGCCCACCGTGGGTCGGCCTCAGACGGGCCCTCTTGTTACCTGGGCCCCTTGTTCAGAATGTTCAGACACCCGATTGCCGTTGGGTTCAAAACCGCCCATTAAGGTTTCTTCCAGGGACACAGCGAACACGACCCCACAAAGCCCTACCCCACCCAGCCCTCAGCACCCACCCACACAAAAACACCTCACGCCTTGGGTCCATGCTCCCAAAGCAGAGGTGGATAGTCAGAACTGAGGCAAGCCACCAATGTAGCCCCCCCCGCCGCCCCCCGGCGCACCCCCACGCACCCCCGCGCTTCCCCGGCGTGCATTCATTCAAGGACCAGGAGGCACCTCGCCGCGTCAGCCTTGTAGGCCCCAGGCGCCAAAAGGCGCTGACCGCTGGGCGGCGCTCGCCCAACGGTCGGTGGCCGCCAGTTTTCTGCCAATCTCGATTCACTGAACGGCTTGCTGTCCACCGTGGGTCGGCCCCAGACAAGCCCTCTTGTTACCTGGGCCCCTTGTTCAGAATGTTCAGACACCCGATTGCCGTGGGGCTCAAAACCGCCCATTAAGGTTTCTTCCCGGGACACAGCAAGCGCGACCCCACCAAGCCCTACCCCACCCCGCCCTCACCACCCACCCACCCAAAAACGCCCCATGCCATGGGTTTATCCTCCCAAAGCTGAGGTGGATAGTCAGAACTGAGGCAAGCCGCCAATGTAGCGGCCCCCCGCGCCCCCCCCCCACACACCCGCGCACCCACACGCCGCCCCTCGGGGGCAAGCAAGACCCCACCGAAAGTCTTCCCCCTTGCAATCCATTGACGATCTCGGTTCGGAAGAGAGCGCGGGCGAGGGCGAGTCCCCACCTGCAAAAGCAAAGCCGAACGGCGGCTCGTGTGGGTGCCCTTGGCTTAGTCGGTGCAGCTTGCCATTTCCTCGGCCAGTATTACGGGGTCTGGTGGTGGGGAGCAATATTGAAGGTGGCACCGCCCGCGAAGCTGTACGTTCACGGGAAACGTTATTTCCTCTCTGCTGCTACGCCGGTGCAAACGAAATGCAGCACGGCTGGCAGGCCCCTCGGAGGGTGCCAGGTGGCGCAGTCACACGGTCGGTAACCCCTTTCCTCGCCGTCCGTGGCTCCGGCGTGAGCCTCATTGCATGGTGACCACATCGTTTGCTTTCCATACATTCCTGCAAGCCAACCTGTCTGAAGGCTGCCAACCTAATCGAACATTCTACCAGCCACCCCAGCTATGCTGGCTTGGCTCATCCACGGATCAATTCCCATGACTTCCCACTTCCATCCTAATCCCACAACTAATCTCAATTCCGCCCCACTTCCCAACTACAACCCTCTAGGCCAGCGCCCTGTACCCGGCCGCCCGCCGACGTTCCTAGGGTCCGTACCCGCTACCCATCTCCCTCACTCCCTCCTCTACAACCTCTACCGTAGCTCCAAACTCCAACTTCCCTACTAACTATGTGCCCCACTTCATTCGTTCTCAACTATGCTTTGTTCGCGACTCGGATTATCTTAGTGTTATCCTGTATTATCACAGCTCTCTAATATTGAGATAGGTTCTGTTGCCTGCTGGCAGTTGGTCTCAGGTGCTCTACCAGAAATTAAGAAACATAATGAGTGCTTCTCAGGAAGCCTTGGTAATGGTGGCACGCTGTGGTTTCTAGGGCTCTAGCCGAGGCTACGAGGCCAGAGTGGAGGGTTGAATGGGCACGACCTCGGCTCAACTAAGACGCCGCCCTAGGCCCCCGGCCCTTTCGTTGAGACACCATCCGCCCGTCACGAACCAGCTAGCTCATGGAAACGGATGCACGCCGGCGTCTCCGTCCGCAACGTCGTGGAATCCCCGAACTTCGGTCAGCTAAGTACGGACGGAATATCGCGTGCGGCAAAGATGGAAACAGGCCGCGGAATTCCGCGAACAGAACGTTCGTCCGTGAATTGTGGGTGGCAGCGGCCGGACGGATTGCAGCCCCGTAAAGTGGCGCGCGGTCCGTGGTGGGAAGCCTAATGTCCATTACCAAAAAGTACTTGGAGATATTTTCAAGACTAGTGGGTTTGCAATATATGCTCAGCGAACTTCGTAAATTGAGGAGAATGTACCTCAAACGCACTCCAAAAAATTCGGGGTAGTAAGAGCATCTTAATCGGTGGGTGCTGTTGTCCCGGCCGTGCTATTTGGCTATCCGAATACCACACGTCAAAAAGCCATCATTAACGGTTAGAGCGCAATAGTATCCCATTAGCACCACCAATGCTATTCCATGCTGAGCGGCGCTATTCTGGGCCCGAATAGCACCGCTCGAGGCCAAATAGCACCCCGGAATAGCATCCGGTGCTACTTTGCGCAGAACATTGTAGTGCCGCTGCGATGCTATTCAGCGTAGCAATAGCACCCATCATTGGGGATGCGAGCAGGGGAGCAGTGGCACCGGTGCTATTCGGCAAATGCCACCTTAGTAAGGTAGCATGGCAGTCAATGAGAACCGTTCCTGCATAGCTGCGACGGTGCAATAGCACCGACCGATAAAGATGCTATAAGATGGCTTAAGATTGAGGCTTACATTAAAAGGGGAGAAAATTAGACCGGCCTTTTACTGGAGTTATATTTCGCGTGACTCCACCACAGTACTGCGTAAAGCACTGCGCACGGGTGTTTGCGCGTCTGGGCCGTCCCATAGGCGGGGCAAATGGTGACGGGGGAGCGGCTGGCCCCGCCCACGTGGGTGAAGAGTCGCGGTGGGAAACCGAGGATTTTGTCACGAGCGATCGTCCTGAGGCCCTCTCGGCGGCCGAAACGCACGTGGGCACAGGGCGGGAGGGAAGGATTGAGATGGGCTGGTAATGGCCGGTCGTGGTGTCCGGGAGAATGGCAGAATGGCAGTATTGGGAAGCAGCTTCTGTGGTGGGTGTGAGGGTAGCCGAGAAGGAGCCCTTGCTAGGGCCCCAGGGCGGCTCCAGCAATGAACATCCCGAGCTCAGTGCTCAGGCAGGCTGGTTTTAAGGCAGCAGAGATGTCCAGATCGTTGTCAATCGGTCTCATTCAATTCACTGCTGATGGGCGACATCACCCCACACATGAATTTGATTGCCGATACTACCTGGCAAAGCAAGCCCATCAGAAGGCAATCCACAATATCTTGGTACAATTCCTAACCTGCAAGCCCCTTGAATCCCATAAAGAAAGCAAAGTTTGTTCCCTACCCTGTCGTGCTGCGATTGCTGGAGATCCATCAACAAATGGCGCCGGGTGGCGAGATTTGGATACGCAGCCATGCTGCAGCAACGCACACCCATAGGACATATACGAAACAAGGGCAACAGCTGTGTATAAGGGCCCACTGTGAGCTGCCTGCATTCCACTGATTCACACAAGAATTTTCTAATTGAAAACCAATGCATGGAAATTATTATAATCAGGCAATTCAATATGGAGAAATCTTGAAACTGCAGACATTCTCTGGTCGCATTATAGGGACGGTTCTGAACGCTAAAAGTGGCATAGAGTCAGGTTGTGGGGAATCACCCAGTCACTCAGTCAATCACACAATCACTCAGTCATCAGCCCACCACTTTCTTGGGGTGTAATTTGCAGAACGCAATTGAATTTAAATTCAGAAATTCGGCAATTCGCAAAATAAGAAATCCAATGAGTAGCCCGTGGGTCGGGTTGCCTCACAGAAGTGCATGCGCAACGCCCAGGGATCCACCTTAGTAATGATTATGGGCAAATGTGCATCATCACCAATAGCAGCAGAGAGAGTGATTTAGGATTTGAATGCATCAGACACTAGGAATTTGACAAAAAATTACTGCTATCAGAATGCAATGCTTGTAAACCGATATGAGACTTTTGTATTATAATTGCTATGCGACAATAACGTCCTGTAGTTGAAGTCGCGGCGATGCTAAGAGACTTAAACTGAACGTTCCAGCAACAACCCTAGCGCACGTCAATTGGCCGTTGACGGAAGCATGGTATGCGCATGTCGCCATATGAAACCAATGGTGTGCACAAGTATGATGTGCGTTGATCGTCTTTGGAAATTTGCATGGGGATTAATCCGAATATTCGCACCCGCGATGCAGCAGTGAAGCGATGCAGAAGCGGAACTGTCGGCTGCAGCTGGCGTAAGCACCTCCCCATTTAGTACCCATTTTTAGTACAGAATCAATGTCGCAAATACAGTATGGTTTGCTTTTGTCGTGCCCACACGTAACATGGCACAAAACAGGAAGCTGTTGTGGGCCGAGCGGAAACACACTAGCTCATTTTATTACAGCAAGCTATGATTTAATACATAAAATGAGATTGCCCATCAATTTTCTGCACAGCAGAAGACCCAGTGGCCATGAGACTGGCTGCCTACAAGCCAATTGACCCATCGCACTGGCGTACGCTGTGCCATGAATGACGCAATATAAGAGCGCTGTGTTTCAGGCTCACGCTAGAGTGACAAATTAAATTTATAGTGCATTTCAAATCACTGAGAGGGTGTTATACAGGAAATTCACTGTACCGAGAAAGAAAAGTCCACGATGTCGCGGAACTCCCTGCGGCACTCTTGAACTCAACAAAGATGGGTGGCGATGCTGCCGTCCTTCTTATTGCGTTATTACATCTCACTCCAGGAATACAATGTCCTTTCAAGGACGTAGAAAGCGCACGATTGTTTGCGTGTATGTCTTTGCGCATAATGAATCAACCAACCCACGGAGCGCAGCAAAGCTCTATTGAACCAAATACTGCCATCTCGCAGATTCCAACCGTTTGGACCTCCAAAACGTGCATTACATGCGCCAGAAAATGATGCGTGAGTCGTCCCTTAGCGATTGCGTAAGAACAGAATTCTGCATGCTGACAACCCTTCTCAGGGCCGTCAAATCCGCTGTAAACTTCATAATGAAATTATCCTAAACAATATGACAGAAACTGTCTCATTTCCTAACTCATCATTTGTCAAAATACATGAACATGACCATCCCTCGTTTCCAGTTAAGTTCTCAATCAAATACTCTTGATACAAAGATAACTCGAATAATTGAATTCCCAAGCATCCCTCCTCCATATGCCCATCAATCAGACCTACACACTGGCGACACTCGCTATCAACAACTTGAACAGGGGCTTCGAGGTTGGGATGTAGCAACCCACCATGACTTGGAAAACTGGAACCACGTTCAGAATTGCGCATCATGCAGGCAGCTCCGGCGGTGTGCTGCGAGAGGGTCGAGGAAGTCGCCTTGGCGATCTGGCGCTCCTTCCGAGTCCCAAGGCGTCCATGAACACCTTGATCCACGACACGGGGCCCAGGGAGGCCGAGCCCCTAAGCTCATTTCTCTGCCTCAGAATCTCGAGGATCTTGTTTTTGATATCAACGTCGTAGTCCTCGTGCCCTGAGGCTTCTCCATTCTCTCCTGCGGCAGTGGCCCCGTGGGCGGGATGGCCCAGATGGAGCATCTCTGCCAGTATGTCCGCGATGCTGATGCCCGCCACTTTATCGCCCTCGATGCCGCCAAATATCTCCTCAATCGACACCTGGACGTCCACGCCGCTGTGCGTCGATTGTGCTCCAGGCACGCGCCTCGTTATGCTGAAGTACACAAGGTATGCAAACGGAATGTCGAGAAAAATCATTGCAACGCCCACATACCAAATCAGCATCCCAATGAGCATGGTCAGGAGGTTGAGCGGAAGGAGGGCGATCCGGCCGACGGCAACCAGCAGGGACTTTCCCACCGTCTTGACAATGTGGCCGACGACGGCAAGACACCCATTCGCCTCGCCGCCACAGCCGCCCCCGTCCCCGTACCCCAAGCAGCATCCAAACATCGCCCAGAAAATCGACGACACGTTGTATCGCGCGTCGTTCAACGACGACAGCATCATCAGTGCCCCGTTCTTCATAAAGTCGCTGTCGTCCACCGTCGCAAACGCCATCTCGGTGGCAGACGAATAGTGAACCAAAAAATTCTCGCCTGCCGGCTGATTCTCTGTCTCCCTCACCACCTCTCTCAGCGCCTGCAGCAGCTCCTTTCCGTGGCCCGCGACCGTGAGCAGCCTCTTGGCGTTGTCCCTGACCTTGCCGAGCTCGATGGCGATGGCCAGCACGGCGGCAGTGGAGCTGCTGTCCAGCTTGCCCTCCGCAGCGAAGCGCACGGCCAGCGAGGCGATTGTCAGCAGCATGAACGCCAGGCACAGGAACATGCCGCCGGCGTAGCGGGCCAGGGACCTGGAGAGGGCCATTCGGTCGGCGTTGGCCCGCTTGTCGAACAGACCGCTGCAGGCGGTGAAAAGGCCGCCCACCAGAACAAGAAAGATCTCGTCTCCCGGCAGCATGGTTGCCAGGGGGGCGAAGCACACCCCCTCCACCGCGGTGTGGCGAAATGGGGCTTCGCGGCGTGGATTGGAAACGTCTTGGGGAAGTTGTCCAGTGCACCTGCAAGCAAATGGTTTGTGACGTCACTAACGTGTGAATATGTCGCCCTGAGACGTGATTCAACGAATGGCCATTTGCACACAAGGCACAGAGAATGCGCCACGCTCCTCATTACAAGTGCGTGTCTGCATTCGGAGTGCTCGCGTCCAGTAGCGTGCACGGAGGGACCCGCCGTGCTGTGCATCGCAACCTGTCCAAACAAGCTGGTCCCCAGCGGCGGGGGGCAAGCATGATTCTGGCCTGCCTACTTTCTCCCCAAGCAAGGTGAATTGGGGTGGCAGTGGCGACTGACACACTCCGCGCCGGCACTGCGCAAACTGGGCCCGGTCAGGCGTCGCTGCGGATGTGCGTATGCCCCAGAACGACCAAGTTCGCAAGGGGAAGCTGTTCTTTCCCCCCTCCAGCCACCGATCGGCATAAGGGGAGCCCTCTGGAGGCAAACCCTGGCGGCACAGACCACTGACCGGGCACGGTGCATTATGCCCCCTGCGATGCCGCTGCCAAGGGCCATATTCCCGCTGTGTTCCAGTCCCCCACCCCACCCCCGCGGCCTCCAGCACACAGACACGGCCACGGCCACGGCCAACCCGTACCCCGGCGTCGCCGTCGACCGATCGATCGACAACTCCTGCAGCCCAATCCTGACGTGGGATCCCACCACCCACCCACCACCACCCCACCACTTCTTTCCACACACCCCAACCCACCCACCCCCCTGGACGCGGCGGCAGGCTCCCCGCTAGGGGATTCATTCACCGCCCAGGAGGCACCCGGCGGCGCCGGCGTTGGCGTGGCTTCCATCCTCTCCTGCCCCACCACCCCTGGGGTGCGCTCGCCTGGTGGCAGGAAGCTACTTGGTTGCTCCCAATGCAGATCCCCTGAACCGCGCGCCACCCCGCGTTGGTCGGCCCCATGGGGCCTAGCCAGGCCGCCCTCGAGGGCGAGGGCGAGTAAGAGCTCTTAATCCCAGCGCCCCTTGTTCCGAAAGTTCGGGCGCTCGATCGCCAAAAGGCTCAAAGCCGCCCATCAAGAGTTCTCCCAGGGATACCGCCAACATGACGGCCGGCAGCCCGTAACTGAAGGGCAATCCCCCCCGCCCCACCCCACCCCAGACCAACCCCGCTGACCAACGCCTCCAAAGAGGAGGCGGCGAGTCCACGATGAAAGGAATATCCCAGGCGTGCCGCCAAGGCAGAAGCGGGCAGGTCGCCATGGAAAACGACCCCCCCACACCACCCGCTTTGAATCCATCGATTTCTGCTCGCAAGAGATTCGAGGCGAAGGTAGCGGGACCCACCTGGAAGAGCGAGGTCGAGCGGCGGCTCGCGTCAGTGCGCCGGGCCCTGTCGGCGCCGCTTGCAGTTTCGGCGACCACTTTATACGGACTGGTGTCGGGGTAGGAGGCGGAAGGTGGATGCAAGGCGGTGGCACCGCCTGTGAAGCTACGCATGTTCGCGAGAAGGCGACGCGCTGTGGCTTGATGCGGCATTCATTTGGCGTCCTTGGCCAATCATGCACTTGCGAGGCGATGAAGGCGTCCGTCCGGACGGATCCAATGGTTCCATTGGCCGTTGGCAACGGCCAATTGGCGGGACCATGCCATGAATTTGTCGCCGTTGACCAGTGTGTGCGCAATGGTGTGCGCAAGTATGATGCGCATTGGTCGCCGTTGACAAATCGCACCCGTGATGCGGCTGCAGGGCGATGCAGAAGCCGACCAGTAGGCCGCAGCTCGCGTAAGCGCTGTCCTTACGTTTGTGCCGCTGCAGTTCTAGTGCAGAATCTGTGCTACGGATGCCAGGAAAGGGGAGACCATTATGTCGCGGAGTTTGCTCTGAGCAAGCGTTCATGTACTTAGGAATATTAGTCAACTGGTTAAAATGCAAGCAAAGAAAGATGAGCGCTGACAATATTGCTTGAGAGTTGAGACCAAAGCATACAACATAAATACAGTATTGTTCGGATCGCCAGTAATGACAGCACATTATAGAACATAATAGCTTATTTATCAGACGCACAGCTGGCTCCACGTGAGGACCAGAATGGATCAGAAGCGCCAAAGAATGACCCCAGAAATCTACAGCAAGGACAGTCAACGTTCAAGGTCTCGACATGCAGCTCACATGACTGCGACAGGGCGAGTCTCAGCATCGACTGTATACCAGAAACGATATGCACGCTTGGCTGGTGTCGACCTGGCAGATTACAACATCCTGCGCAGCATCTGGGAAGGACCCACACCGTGACCAGTCTCACAATCTACGGCGACTCGCTGGACGGGCTCTCTTGCCCCCGACTCGGCTTGACACCCAAAGCGCTCACCCAAAATCCACTCACTGCGGAAATGGATTCTGCCTGGACTCCGCAGAGCAATGCCCATTGATCGTGACGGGCGAGCCGTGTTCGGTGATGGGGTCGAGAGTGGGGGCTGGCAGTCAAACGGCCGATTGGTCGATCACGGAGGAAAGAAAGAAAAGTAGCTAAGGGGATCTGCAGCAAAGAAGCAAGCCTGTTGAACTGCACGGTTGGCATGTCATCGAAAGGCCATAGAAAGAAAAAACGCGCCGGGGCGCCATCGGGACGGGTCAGGAGGTCATAGGTGGATAAGCGGCGCGGAGCCGCATATGTCAGTCAGGGGCTCCGCGCCAAAAGTGAACCGGCAAAGTCTTTGGCCTCAGGAAGTGTTCCCAATCTGCGCGATCGTTTGTTTGGCGGCAGCTTGAATGGCGAAAAGCGCCACCTCCGGAGCCCACCAAAGAGGGTGCGGGGGGGGGGGGCAGTGTTGTGGGAGGTTCCCAAAAGGAAAGAGTTGTACTGCCGGCATCTGACTCAGCCTGGCCACCCTTGGGGGTGCCAGGAGTGGCAGAATCGGGCAGTATGAGTGTATCTTAATACATAATAGCTTAACTCTAGGTTATCTTGCATCACCTTGCTCCCGCTCATGACGAAGCCGACGTCCTCCTCGTTTCTCGGTTCTCGTTGCTTCTCCTCTCGTTTCCTTTCCATTTCAATCATGGGCTTCGCCCACTCACGCCCCGACGGTTTGCCATTCCCCCGATCTGGGGACAGGCCTCATGTCCTGCCCCCACCCGGAATCAGCCTTGGTTTTTACGTTTACGTTTTTACTTTTACGTTTTTACGCGTAGAATCGTAAATTTGCAAAAGGCCCTATTTTTACGGCTATTTTTACGTTCTTACGGCTCCCTGGGACGCCCATATTACACAATGAAAGTTGCGTACAATGATCAGTCCTCCGCCATATCCAGCACCCGCAACACAGTGTCCACCTTGCCCTTGGCAAGGGCGATGATGGTGTGTAACAAAAACTCGTTTTCTGCCCCTTCCAGGCCTCTGGCTGCCATTCCCCGGACTCCGTAAGTCTGTATGTACTGTCCTTATGTACACCGGGCAGTTTTTATGTTGCATTTACGTATTTTTACGCATTTTTACGCGTAAAAACGTAAATACAATCAGTTTTTACGGCGTAAAAACCAAGCCCGCCCGGAATGGAGAGGTGCACATGCCTCGCGTTTCAAGCGTCAACAGCCCTTCGGCTTTTTCCGAATGGTTGCGTCTCCTGACCTGGCGCTCCACATCAGCGCCTAGCCACACATACCATTTAGTTGCCATTTCCCTCCCGGACAAGGCAAAAAAAGCCGTTTTTCAGGCATACCCCCAAGGGCAGTGCGTGGGTGGGACACGAAAATCCTCGCGTCCTGCTCGCGCAGCGCAATCCTTTCGCGGCGCCACTTAGTGCT